CTCCATCACCTGTGGTACAAGAGCCATGCACTTCTCAAATGGTGATTAAACTGTCAAAACAAGGCTTGCCTGGGCTCCAGGAAGCTTGTTCTTGGCGCTCCATGTGGAAGGACTGTCATTCCTCATCCCATACCCATGGCTTGAGTAGCCCAGAGCATGGCCTGAGTGCTGTGGGAGTCAGTTCCAGATGGGTTTGTGCAGCCTATTACATGGTGTACACTCATTTTCACTGTCTCTGTGTGCTTGGAAAAAGAGCAGTGTTCCTGGCTCTTTTTTCTGCTTTCGCAGCCATATATTCCTACAAGGTTTTTATCCTGGCTGGTATGATCACAAAGGAAATAGTGCAGTAGCTTCTCAAATTAAGGGAAAACAGCAAATCAAAACACATCAGTCTCCTGAGCCAGAGTCCCAATTACCACAGGGTTGGGAAAAATGCCACGCACGTGATTTTGCTGCATGCTAAAATAAAGGGAAGGGAAAATGAAAAAATATATCACCATGTCCTTTAAAAATTTGTACCTACAGAGTTGAAGCAACCACAAGCTATGCTGTACAGATGGTTTTTCTCTTGCCAGGGAGAAGTGCAGTGAGGCCAGAGTCTTTTAATCTGTCATATATATAACTGAAGATTTGCAGTTGGAATCAGACTTGAAAATGTAAATGGCTTTTCAATTGCAGAGTCTGGTCTGTCATAATGGCTTTAATTCAAAGCTTTGTCTGGGTAGAGCAACAGCTGTTCTGCCTGTGGTTTTTCTTGCCTTATTTTATTTTTAGAATTTCCTCATATGTAAGATGCCACAAGATTGACACAGACTGGGAGACCTTGTGAGACCTGAAATAAATAAAGTGCTCTCCTTCTCCACAAAAAGAGTTAATTCAGCTACTGAAGAGTCCTGACCTGGGCTGTTGACCACCTTACCTCCCCTAACATGGCTAATCTGCATAAAATGGTATCCAGAGATCCAATCTGCCTTTGAAATTAGTTTGTTGGGTTTGGTTTTTTTTTCCATGAAATCATCATCTGCTGACTGCTGAGAGTCCCCAACTTTTGCATCTTAAAGTTAAAAATTGGGGAAAATCAGTGATTGGTCATTTAAAAATGCTACCATTAAAGCAAATTCACGGGTATTTAGAATTGAAGCATCTCTGGTGTTCAAATTCAACAACTGTCTGTTTTTAAAAGCGAAGGTACCTCCTCTTTATATCCCCTTTTTCAGCATGTGTGCATTTCTGCAGTTCTTGTTTATTAAGGATCCATGTTTGACTTCATAAAGTGCACCTGTTCAAATGCTGATACCAATGAGAATTTAGTATAAAAATGGGAGCTGCAAGTCCAAATATCGCTGTGGACATATTTTCCACCGCAGACAGTGTTTTGTTGCTTGGAGACCTACTGTATGTTCTTGCTTTTGTTCTTTCTTCCAAAGTTGAGTTTTGTACTTCTAATACAGATGGAAAACTAGAAAATATTCTGTGTTTCAAAACTTGTGTAGGAGGAAAAGGACACGTAGGAAAAACCAACCAACCACCAAAACAAAATCCTCAACTCAGCTCCCAGAAGACCTGGAGCCATCAGGAATCTTTGTTTGTGCTGGGAAAGTATTACATGACTTCAGGCACCAACTGAATGACATGCCTTTCTTGCAAGGCAGGGATGTGTTCTTTTCACAACTGAGAATGGGAATTACGAGAACCACGACACTGCCCCTGTTATGTTGTTTCTGAGAAGAGAGCTCCTCTGTGGTTGATCTTACTAGAAACCACGATGAGGACATCAGGGTTCATTATGCTCCTCAATCATTCTCTGTGTTTTTTTCTTCTACTCCCTAAGCTGTCCCTTTCTATTTTTCTTTGCTCCCCTTCTGTCGTCAGCTCTTCTCACTTGACCTTTTCTCTTCCTTATCTCCTACAGTTTCTTTGAAACACAGCAGGAAAGCAGGGTTGCCCCAGTCTGTCAGATGATGGGCCTGTGACAAGGCTGTGCCTGTAGGTAAATTTGCTTCTGCAAGCAGCTAGCATGAAGCTGTCTGTTGTTCAGATAGCAGTTTGTGCTGTTCTTCCAGGCAATAATCCAGGAACATTATTTGCCTGCTAGAGTGGGACACTGCAATGCCAAGAATGCTTTGTCTGATTTTGATTTCCAGGCTTTTATTTTGACAAAATAAACCAAAGTGGACAAAAATACATTGTTGCCATTCAGAAAAATAATTCATCATCTGTTTTATATGAGTGTGGGTAATAGAGATGGAATTAAAGAAATGTCATCTTTGCAATATGCCCAGACTTCTGAATGAGAAGGATTCCTAAAAAAAATCCTTCCAAAGTCACATTTCAGACTTGTAGCTCTCATCAGCAGGACCTCTGGCAGGGCTGGTAGGAGCATGACTGCAAACACGGGAAGTTTGGAAGCAATCCTTTGAGCCTGGAATCACAACGATGCCTGAGCTGTGGATTTGTGCCTTGACAGACTGAAAAAGTAGAAGCCACACACTAATCTCTGAATTGGAGATTTTAATCTCTTGAAGAACAAGGACCTAGGTATAACTTGAACTTAGATTCTGCTCTGGTGTAAACCGAGAATAAGTGTGCTTAAGCTCAGATACACAGACTGATTTTTCAAATGCCTTATGAAAAGCCAGGCACTTTTAACCTGCTCTAATTCAGCGGGAAACCACTCTTTTTACCCATGTTGTTGCTTTCTGCTCTCTTGCAGTACTAACAAAAAAAGATTATGGAAACTTCCACCATTCATCAAGATGCCCAGAGTGTCCTCAGATAATCCCTTGTGGGCCTGGATGGTGGGATCAGAGCCAGGCTCTGTCATCAGGGTTCCCCAGCTGGTCAGAGGGATGTGTTTGTTCCCAACCACCCCTTACTATGTCTCAAGATGAATGGCTCCACACTGACCACTACAATTACTTGACAGTCCCAGGAGAAATGCTGTTTAAGCTAAAGGAGAGCACTGGAACCAGAACAAATGTGTCTAAACTGGACATAATTGCATTCACACTGGTTATTAAAAGAAGATTCCTAATAAAGTTTTTGAAGAGCAGCCAAAATTATTAAAGGGATAAAGCAACCTCTTATTATTTTTAAAGTATAAGTTGGTATGTTTTTGGGAAGAGTTGTTGAAGTTGAGCTGCAGAGGAGTCAAGGGGCTCAGCAGTCCTTTAACCTTCTTGTTTCTGACCAAGTGGCCTCTTGGTAATTTAGTGTCAGGTGTTAACTCTTACCCACACAGGACATTGCTCTGTTCTGCTGGTGTTCCTCTGCTGTGATCACACTGAGCTCTGCTCTCCAAAAAGCAGCAGAAATGGCTGCCTCCTGTATGCAGGGTGATGCGGGAAGGACACTGCTCTGTTTAATTTAGCATTGGAAAGCCCACTCCCATAACTAAGGTGTATGAAAAATAATTTGCTCTATGTCAATGTTGGTTTCACTGGAGAAAGTCACTTCTAGAAGTCACCTCCCTGATAAACAAAAACAAAATCTCTTAAACGAGACATCAAAATGAACCACATTCTTGAAAATCTCCTTTTTCTTCCAGTCACAAAATGGGACTGGCAATACTTCCATGCCTCTGGGAAGTTTTCTGGGTAAGAAAATCATCATGGCATTCAAGATCTTCTCCAAAAAGGGCATTATTTGCCTGATAATTTGGTTTTATTGTTTTGGTCTAAAAAAACCCCAAAACATCTCCACACAAACTTCATAGCATTACAGTGAGTTTATTTTGAAAAAGAAATCAAAGAATGTTTTTTTCATCTCTGAGCCAGATGGGAAGAAAAAACAAACGTATTCCACAATATGAAAGAAAGCAGATGAGAACTTTCAAAAAAATTTTTAGCCAAGTTTTTTTTTAATTTAATTTTTTTTTTCCACTAAACAGCATGGAAAAAATGAAGTCGAGATGGTGAATGAACAAATAGGCTCTGGTTTTAGGAAGGCCTGGTTTCTGGGGAGCAAGGGCTTTGTCTGTAAGGCAGTTTACTATCCCATTTATAGATGCCCAAGGTATCTCTGATTGTGGGTAAGCACTGGGAACTTCCTTCTCCAGCTCCTGCCCAAGCCCTGGGGAGCCCAGGGTGTCCCAGCTGTGGGCAGTGCCAGGCATGGGCAGTGGTCCCACTGCTGGCCTCTCAGCTGGGTGAGCCCCAGCACCTGCACAGGGCAGTGCAGAACCTGCTCTGGAGACAGCTCATGGAAGAGCCAACACCTCTGGGGAACACAGACACCTGCAGAAGTGAGGGAGGAAAAACAAAGCAAGACTGCAGACTGCTTGTTCCCTTTGGATGCTACAGATGTGTGAGCTGCTGTGCACTTGGGCAGTGCAGAGCCTGCACTGGGGAAAAGTGGTTTTGTTTTCTCACGTGTGAATCAACTCAGCCACCTTTCCCCTGCTCCTAGCAGATCAGTTTCTTCCCACAGCCAGTGGCTGCCCTCCGACCAGCTCCTTGCCTTGCCACTGATCAGACACCAGTTCCTGCTACTTGCTAAAAGCAGAGTAGCTACTTGCCAGGAACAGAAAATTAAAAGAGGAGGTCAGCCGTCAGAGAGAGAGGAATAGCAAGACCAGATCAGCCATTATAAACAGACAATTTAAGCCATCATAATGGCTAATGTGGGGACTGATGCAACATAGTTCAGGACATCCCTCACCTGGAGGCCCATCTGAGGTGTTTGGTGTGCTAGGACAGTAAGCAGCAAAGGGCTTCAGACCTTCTTAAAGGTCTTGTTCAGATCAGACCTTCAAAACCATGTTCCTATCCCCTACGTGCTGCAAGAACAAGGCACTAAACCTGCAATTACAGGATAAGATAGCCCCAGTCATGCTCAGAACCAGGGTGGAGTAAGTGAAAAAGAAGGCTTTAATGGAAAAAAGCTTCATTAGTTTGATATTTAATACCGATGAATGTTCTGGGTCCACATACCTCTTATTTCCACATCCCTCTCGGTTAGACACACATGCACAGAGTTAACAACATTCAATTCTGTGTCTCCACGTAGTGATTTCTTTATTGGAACATTTGCAAGTATTAATTATAGACAACAAAGGAAATGAGAGTTGAGATTTATAAGCTCTAATCAGCTGAAGGCATTTCCAAATAAATTAATGAAACAAGTCAGAAATGACATTAAGAAATCCAGAACTTAATGTAAATCACAATAACTTTGTACCTTCTCTGCCTTTCCCTCTTTTTTTTCCAACAGTCCCAGTGCTTACCGGGGTATATCAACTTGCATTTAATTTTATGTAAAATAAGAAGGATTATGAGAATGTGTGCTCAATATGACAAGCTACAAAACTCATGTATAAGAAGGAAAGCAAAATCAAGCTTGGACAAAATAATTTGCTATCACTTAAAACTTTCCATACAACCTGCATTATTACTCAAACCATACAGAAAGATTTGATGGGGATTTTTTCCCATTAAGGAGTGGCAGGTGTGACTTTCATGACAATTTCTTGGCCCATTCTGGTGTCCTGCTTGCGCTCCTGCCAATCATCTGTCCTTTCTGTGACATGTTCCTGAGCTGTCTTAACACTCTTGGTCCTCTCAGTGATTTCAATTCTTGTTGCCATTGGACACCTCTGTTTCCTTCCTGCAGGAATACTAGGTCAAAAGGATGGTCTGCCTCAGCACGCCTGGCTGCTCAGGCCATATTTTAAGGATGACCGGACACGTCAGGCACCCAACTGCAGCATCCCTCTTCATCCAGTTTTGTCTAACAGCTGCAGTGTTTGATTCAAGTGTGTGAACAGAAGGTGTGAGCCCAGTCACGTCTCATTTCTCAGTGTCCTCAGCTTGTAATTCCTCTGGCTGGGGGACACTAGATAACTCTTGGATAATCTGATCTCGTGTATGTACCATCACTGCTGTTGCTGAATGAAGAGAAGGATGAAATCTGGGCAAGGAAGCAATATAGCTTGGGCTTAAACAGACGTTTCTCATTCACTTCTTTTTGTGACACAAGTTGTGTGACATCAATAAAAAGCATGAAGAACGTAATTTTATGTGGTAGATGCTCAAAACAGGCTTATTTCACCTAAATAAGCCAACATTCAAAACAAAGGTAGCAGTGCTTCCACTTCAGTGTGGCTCTTCAAGGTTCCACTCACCAGGGTTTGTGAGGCTCTCGGGGCACACAAAATACTAGTTTTGTACCTCATTATCCAAAAATAGCAGTTTAACATTCTCTCCACAGACAATGTGTAAATATAGATGTAAACATTACAGCATGTGTCTACACACAACTCCTCAGTACAGCATGACAGTGCATGGCAGAATCAAGTTGTCTTCAAAACTTTATGAAAAAGCCAAAAGAAAAGGCTCATGAAATCCAGACTGTCTGAAGACAAGCCCTGCCTCCATGATGGTGACACAGGGTTTCTGCAGCTGTAATACATAAACTTTTCACTTTTAATTAAGCAGATGCAATTTTCCTGTTGTTCCTGTCTCATATCTAATGAGACACAGGACAGATTCCCAAATGTAACATTTTGTGTATTTTGAAAAAAAATTATAATTGAAATTTAAAATACCGGAGGGAGATGTAGGGAAACAGCAGTTTTTAAGTGATTGATCTTAGGAGCAATACTTGAAAATCTGAAGTATAAAATCTTGTCTCTTTCCAACAGAGCTGGAGTATTTCAACAAACTTATCTGCATTCAGCCAAGGTAAATGGCAGGTCAGGAGGCAATGGAAAAAGAGCTCTCCTTCCCAAAAAGCCAAAACAACTTCCTTCATTGTAGAGCATGTGGCCATGAGAAGGGTATAAAAACTGGAAACAAATACCAAGGTTTCTGTTAATGAATTAACCTACCAATTTTTTGAATTCCTGATAAGCAATATTGCTGCCAAGACAACAGCTCATGGGACTGTGGAGGGAACTGGCTGGGTAACGGTATAATCTCTTTCTGCTTTGCAGCATATTTTATTTTCTATTTTGTTTGGGAGGGAAGTACCAGTCCAAGAAAACAGAGAGATCGATTTACAAAGCACTTTGGAGAAGTGCAAGTTTATTAGACTTTTCTGAGTATGGCATGTTTTTCTCACCAAATCTTGAAATCTGTCTTAAAAACAAACATATTTCAGTGTATGCAGCTTCTTTGTTTCTCTTTTCATAAAGTCTCTCATCTGGGCTTGACCTGCAGTATGTGTGGCAACTACTGGGGTAGAATTCCTTACAAGAAGGGAGAAGGAATGAAAACATTTCAAAATGATTATTAAAAATTGGAGATTTACCTCCATGGAATTTTCTTCTGAGTGGAAGGAATAGGAGCGGAGGAAGGAGGGGAGGAAGGGAGGGAGGAAGGAAGGAAGGAAGGAAGGAAGGAAGGAAGGAACGAAGGAAGGAAGGAAGGAAGGAAGGAAGGAAGGAAGGAAGGAAGGAAGGAAGGAAGGAAGGAAGGAAGGAAGGGCTTTTATTAAAATGGTCTTTCCATAGTACCCCAATGAAACACTGGCTGTGATCAGAGCTATAATGAGTATCTAGTCCTTAGTCAACTTAATTGTTACACATGCAGACTAGACTGCATACAGTAAGGAAAACACTATCTAAAATCTGCTTTAAAAGTTATTTAACCAGAACAAATCATCTGGGAAAGTAAAAATATTTCTCTATAGCTGAGCTAGGCCTGACAGCAAACCTTAATGAATTATTAGTACCTTTATTGTTTTCTTTGGCCCCTGTGCACTATATTTGTAAAAAAAGTCAGTAAAAAAGAGAACAATTGTAAAAAGCAAATATTTTGTACAAAAATACAAAGTTTTAAAAGCTCTTAAAAGTATATTCCATATTACTGATAAGAGTTGGACTATATATATATATTTATATAAAATCTATATATTCGTGTATCTGTATAATTTTCCTACATTTGGGATTTTAGCAAATTAAGCAACTGTTTACACAGTTGCTTTATATGTTTTTCTATATGAGTGACCAACAGTCTTACTCAGATTGATAGAATGTCTTTTCTCAGAAGACACAAGCTGCTTATGGATGTGGTTACTGGTTGGGAAGAAAATCTAAAACAGAGTTAGTCCAACATTTCCTGATGCTGAGGGTCGAAAGGCCTTAAATAATTACAGGATGCTGGAGAAGAGTTATTGCTGAATTCCTTGATGCTTTTAAATCAGTTTTCAGTGCTTGCTTTTTTCTGTTTTCATATTTTTTTTCAATTTTGGAAGTCAGTGTTGCGCTTTCCCAGGATTTTCTTCTTCTTTACATAAATTTCCTTAATACAAAGGTATCTGTAAAGTTACAGCCTATTACACTCCAAGAATTTGCCCTGCAGTATGAGAGAAAACAAGAAAAACAAAGAGAAAAAGAAATCCTGTAAAAAGCTTGTGAAGATTAAACAAATTTCCAAAAAGAAAACGTACAGAGGTCAAGGTATGGAAAAAATTTGAGCAGACTTGTATTCAGATCCTGTAAGTCCTGGAGGATAAATATTTGTAAACCTTTAAGTTTTCTTAAAATAACAAATGTATGTAGGAAAACCAGAGTAAATCATATTGTTACTTACACATGGTCCTTCACTCTGGACATCCAAACAGAATTATACACACAAATCTTGTTCAGCACTTAGTTTTGACTTAGGGGACTATGGATGGGATGTAATTTTGGCTCTAGCTGACATTTATGTCTGCCTTCACTGAAATTCAACCAACAAGTTTCCAGTTGGAGAAGCCAGGCACCCTTGGCAAAGCAATGTTTAAACAGGTTGTATGGAGGAGATAACATTTCAGGCAGAGCCCCAGCATGAACACAAACACCAGCTTTGACCACGTTCTCTGACAATGGGGCTGGGCTCTAAGCAGCCATGGGAACCACCTGCCCTCTGCTCCTACAGAAATGCCTGTGTCAACAGAAAGAGATGCCCTGTGGCAAACACCTGCCTGACTGCTGGCCACACCAGCAGCTTATGAGTCCTTCACTCCAGCTGCAAGGGATGGGATGCTTATGGCCTATGGACCCAGCTTCTCAGTCCCATGGGACATCTCCTGGCAGTGTTGGGAATTTTAAGATCTCCTTAGCAGTCACCAAGTGCCTCCTATTGCACAAACTTTCAAAACAAAGACTTTCTGGTGTTTGAAGGCTGGTTCCTGAGCCACCCTAAGGCCAGCTTTCCCTGTTGTGTGGCCACTGACCCTATAAAGGCAGCTTCCAGTGTGGGTAGGATCTGGAGCATGTGCCAAATCATGCCCAAAATTTTAGGCATGTGTAAAGCCTACAGGAAATGGTCAAGATTCTGGGCATTCCATGGCTATAACCAGCTTCGAGGCTGCTTTTTCCAACTGCAATAAATCCAGAAGTGTCCCACATGTGATTCCCCCTCTTCCTCAACAAGGCACTGCTGCAGCATTTAGCCAAGATCTCACCTCTAGCTACGGGACATTTACTATGGGCAAGATGGAATAATCAAACCAAGGGCCATGCTTACCTTTGTCCATGTCTTTTTCACAAATGAAATTGTTAATATCTTCACAGTAGAAGTCATTCCAGAGCCCAGCATAGATCAGCCCAGCGCAATCTTCCCCTGGCCCATGCTCGTGATCCCAGTTATCAGGCTGCCCAGGTTTCCAGTTACTTTCCACAAAAAAGCAAGAGATATGATTGCACAACACAGCACACATGGCAGGTTTTCACCACAAGAAATTAACGAAAACATCATGAGATCTGTTCTGAACGGGAAACACACATTGAAACAAACAATACATTACTCTTGCTGAAAATGGAAAACAGATGTATCACAGAGAAGGGAATCTATTCGGCCTCAGGCTGCCAAAACTCAGAGACCTAAATTTAGACCAATGAACTTTATTTTAGTTTCTGAGTGTACATGCACACACAGTGGGAGTGCTCCGTGCTCCGAGTGCATTGCTCCAAGCCTGTGAAACCTGCACACTGCATTCCCACTGGCAGATGGGACTCAGAAGAGCCCACGGGCTCAGAGGTAATGCCAAGATGGCAACAGCCTGCCCTTGCTCACTGCAAAGCTCTCTGACTGCACCAGAGGTGGGCATCTTGGGAGGAACAGCAAAGATCCATGTTTTTTAGGGACACATGCTCAGATGGGAAGGGAATTCTATTGACTTTTAAGAAATTCACACAGTATATTTACAAACGTCTTTCGAGATTGTTGTCTTTGATGGTGAAATTGAACATAGCAAGTAAAAAATCTTGCAGCGTTTCCTCATCCTGTTTTTGTTTAATGAGTGAGAAATGCTTCCAAACTCAGGATTTAAATGTTCAATTTTCCTGAAGAAACAGGTTGTTGAAGGGAGCTTGTGATTGCTGGCTGACACAGTCCATGCTCAGCTAAAAAACATGCCTGCCTGACATAGAGCATCCAACCAGGCACCTGGGAGGACACACAGCTTTCCAGAAGTAATGAAATACTCCAAAAATCTGTAACCAACAGCTCTGAGGTTATGACAAAGCACCTAAAACCATGGTGCAGTGGAAATCTACTAAAAGCAGCACCTTAAGTAGGATCAGTCACAGTGCTACCATGAAGAGGAAGAAAGATGAAAATGGGAAAGGAGAAAAAGGGGAAAATATTACAGTGTATTTGAAATGAATCTGACTTTTCCCATGTTTTTCATCTAAATGAACACCAATGAGATCACAGCTAATAATTTCGTAACATCTGACTGACTGTGTAGCCTGTTTTTCTGAAGCACAGCATGTTAAGATCTATAAACTCTTTAGTTTATTCCTCAGTATTAAAAATTTGGGTGGTTGCAATCTGTTCCATTAAGGAGAAATTAGGTGTAGCCCTAGGATTCCTGGAAAGCTGCCAATTCAGTTCTCAGCTGGCCAAAGCATAGACAACCTAATTTCATGCATTTTCCTTACGTTGAATGCTTTCCGCTTGGATTTGGGTTTTATCTAAAGACTGGTCATTTTGTATTAGAATGAGTACTCTATTTATAGCCAGTTGTAATGCAAATAAGGAAAATTCAAACCAAAACAGTAAAACTGTGCTTTCCATCTCAACTTTGTAATAAAAGTCAGAAGCAAAAGTTTTGGCAAGAAACACTGTGCTGCATAGTTATGTGATTCTTTCATTCAACATTCAGCTTTCTTTCTGGCAAGGAAAGGAATCCTTGCGCATGGAGAAGGCAGAGAGAAAGAACCCCAGCACCCTCAGTAACAAATTAAATTATTGGCATCTACAGCCATCTGGATTCATTAGATAATTTCTAGATGCTGCTTTTAGAAGTGTCAGCAAGAGTGAAAGCATTGCTTTTATTTACGTACGTGTAAACTGGTAAGGATCCATCCAACCATCTCCATTCATTTTCCTTCTCTGAATCTGTTAGTCCAATCCAGAAGCTGCCTTTCCCAACAATCTGCCTTTTTATCCATTGCTGTGAAAGAAAGATCTTAGTCCATAACAAGGACAACGTTTTTTGGGGTCAATAAACCACACTGGTTTCATAAACCCCTTGTTATTAGAATATGGTGGGCCAGAGAAATTTTTCTAAGCTGAAGGTATGTTTCAAGAGTTGGCCTTGGGACCCCTTGCCTAGACTAGAATCCCTTTCATTGTTTGCAATGAGGTAGAGAGAGCTAGGCATGAAAATTGGGTTGACATACAGCCACAGCTAATATCTTACAGACACAAATTGAAAAAATCCCTAAGAGTAAGGAATTGTATCTTGACACCCCCACTGCCATGTTGAATAGTATTAAAAATATAGTTAGATTAAAGATACTTTTGGGTCATACTAGTCCTAGTATGGACTATTTTTATTAAATCAGATAATTTAAAATTATATTCACTGCTGCAAAAAATACTTTGATAGTACACAAGGCGTAATGGATTCCATCTTTAAAGGTTCAAAACTCCTACAGTTCTCAGCAGCTTTTCTGACTGCTCTGCCCCACAACATTCAGAGTCAGCATCAGTTCTGCTCACACTACCCTTCTGCACAGGGAGAAGCTGCTGATCAGGCACAGGATGGACAAAATTCTAATGAGTCAATCAAGGTGTTTACTTCTAGTCTATGCATTCATGGTGCTCTCAGCTTCCCACCATCTTGTGGTTTCTACATGTTAAACAGCTTCAAACTTCCTCCTTGAAAAACAGCAAGAGAAGGTAATTACCTGCTCCTCTTTGTTGTTGATGATAACCAAGCGCGATGCTTTCTCTTCACAGAATAACTTTGCGTCTTCAAAAATTTCTCTTTCGACAGAAAAGTAGTAGCACTTTTCTGTATAGTTCTTCCAGCGGGGTGAACAACCTGTGATATGAATGTTTTTGTGTTAAGCCTGTTATTGGTAACTCAACAGAGCAGTAATAGGGCCAGCAATAAAGGAGGAGCCCACACCCATCCACAGCATGCAGTGTGTTGATGGCTTACCATTAGCCTCGGGTACGGGTGTAGGCTGACTCTGTAGTGCCATGGGCATCCCTGGACCTGGCGGCCCCGGTGGGCCAGGTGGGCCCTTTGGACCAGGCAGCCCAGGGACTCCAGGGAGTCCAGTTATTCCTCGCGGTCCTGGTAGCCCTGGGCTTCCCACAGTTCCTTGCAGGCCTTGAAATCCAGGTGGGCCCTGGGGCCCTGGTGGACCATCCTTGCCAGGTGGCCCTGGTGGCCCTGGGTCTCCGTTTGGTCCAGGCAGACCGGTCTTGCCAGGAGAACCTCTCTGACCTTTGGAGCCAGGTGATCCTCTTGAACCTTTCCCTCCTTTTTCTCCTGGTGGCCCAGCTGGCCCAGGTGGGCCCTTCTCACCTGCAGGTCCTGGTGGTCCAGGCTCTCCTTTCTCTCCTTTTGGTCCTTTTAGGCCAGCAGGGCCAAGAGGACCTTGAGGGCCTCTGTCACCTTTAGGTCCCCTTGGACCAGGAGGACCTGAAACAATGTAAGCATGCAAAGTGGGGATATGCACAGAAAACAAAACAAAAAGCCCACGTGGGGTGGGCTTGTTTAATACATCTCAGACCAGCGCCACTGGATATTTAACAACACAGAAACTGGGCTTTTATCAGTGCTTGTAACAGTGCAGCTGCTTTCCTATATACTGTTGTCCTTTCCTTGACCTCCACAAAATACAGGATACAGAAAATACCCTGATACACCCAGCCATGTGAACTGGACAGTGACACCACGCCCCAGGTGACCAGCCAAGGTGCCAGTCCCTGCAAAACTCTGTGCTACTAGTTTATGCACTAGTGCTGTGTGTTGGTGGTACCATTCCCTCACTCTGCTACGCTTCCTTCTCCTTCTAATCTCATCTCTCTGCATGTAGTCCCAGGACTTTTATTCCTGATCCTGGTTGCTGCTCTGTCAATAACGGGGTGTCAAAAATAGACAAAATGATGGATAGTGAGCAGAAGGCCAACTGTGGGAAAGACCAGAAGCTGCAAATTGGCCAGCTCTAACAAGTCAGGGAACAATAACGCACAACTGGAAATGGCAATACTGTGATGGCAATAAACAACAAAACAATTTGGGATTCTGTTCATGGATGAGCAAATCCCTTGTCAATACCTTCCCACTCCCGGCACTAATCTATATAATTCAAACTCCTCCAGAGATAGATTTCCAAGCTGGAATCATTTAGGCTGGTTGAAATGAGAATGGTTAAGGTTACTGACATGTAATCTTGGCTCTAATGCAGCCTTAGTTTATTTGGAGTGATGGATTTATATTTGTGATTAGAAGTTTAGGCTGGTTCACATCTGATTGGAAATATGAGTGTTCTTTTCATTTGGGATAATATTTGGCTGGGAGAAACCTCCTAAACCTGATGCTATTTATTTCTGGAGAAAATAAAGTATCCCAGGATTAAAAACTAAGCAAAGTAGGATGTTTTCTGGCAGACTAACAACTGGCTTAAAGTGAAATAGCAACTTGTTTTTCAGTAAGGGTGGACCTTTCTGGGAATAGTCCAACATATATTTTTTAGCCATTTCCTCCTTACTGAGGATTGGTTTCTTGAGGTTCCACACCTTCACTCACTTATTTTAGAAACTAAATCAAAAGCAGATCCAGTCAGTCAGTCAGTCAGAATAAAATTCTGCTAAGTCAGAACCTTCTTTCATAACATCCCCATTTCAGCTATGTAAAAAAGGCATAGAAAAATTAGTACAGAAAATTCAAGCTACGTGTACATTTCCAAAGTTTAGGATTAGATAATGGAAAACCCCAGGACTCTGTACAGCATGCACTAACTTCCACAGAACTAAAGAAGTAATGCATGCAGGAATTCAGCACACACTCATCGTTAGGGAAGCTGCATACCTTGCAGGATAGTGAAGTTCTTGATGAGCTGGCCGTGTTTGGAATCCACCAGCTTCATTTCTTCCATGATTACTGACAAATTGGCAACTTCAACATCTAACCTTGACCTCATCAAATCCTGTTGCACCTTGAGAGATGCAGAGTCTATGCGAATATTGGCTAGCGTGCTGTTCATAAAAATCAGCTCATCTGAGTGTTTACTTAAGGTGTCTGTGCAAGTTGTCCTGACTTCATTGAGATTGCTTGTCAGTGTCCGTAGGTGATGAGCAGTGTAGCTGATGTTGCTGATGATATTGACTATATCGGTTTCAAAGACCTGGAACCTTTCTTCTAGATGGCTGATTTTGGCAGCAGTTCTGTTTTCATCTCCTTTATGCTGTTCCTGGAGATCCTTTAGACTTTGTTCATTGGCTTGGGCAATTGTGGTTATGTTCTCCATCTGCCCACTGAAGGAGCTGAGCTGACTGTTCATGTCTTCAAGGGTATCATTGTTGGCTTTTGCCATTGCTGAGTTGTTGGTAGCCAAAGCCTGTAAATTGTGTACTTTCTCCTTAAGCCAGTCAGTGTCCTTCCGGGCCTGAAGGACAACCTGCTGCAGATTTTGGAAGTCATTCTTGATTCTTAGAATAGCCGAGCTTGTATCTTCCATTGACTTCTGTAAGACACTGATAAGATTTCTTTGCTGTATTTGAGTCAGGTTTAAGTTGTTAAGGCTCATGATGATCACATTTTGAGAATGCTCTTGGCTTTGCAGGTTTGCTTGTATATTACTTGTGTCTTGTTGGAGATCATTGATATAGCCAGTATATGCCTGAAGAGTCTTATTAACACTGATGATTGTGAAAGAGTTACTATCTAAGGCACTTTTCATTTGATTCTGTCTGTCATCTAATAATTTCCCAGACTCTTGCAGCTTCTCCAGTGTGTCTTTGTTTCTGCTAGTTTTCTCTGAAATGTCATGAAGTTGCTGACGAAGAGCCAGAATGTCAGATCTGAAGCTGGACAGTTCAGTGTTAGTATTCAAGGCTTTTTGCCCGGCTTGGTCATCTGTTGTACAGGGAAAAAAAAAAAAAAAAAAAAAGGAAAGGTTTTAGGTTTTTTTTTAAACACAGTATAAAACAGCACAGTGTATTTTAAGAACAGTCAGGTTGTCAAACTGTTCAGTAGAACTTTAATGCTATCTTTTCCAGAAAAGAGAAATCACTAAGCAAAGTTCTGGCTCTAGACAGAGAAAAAAAGCAAAGAGGAATTGATGGAGACCTTGTGTCTTGCTGAGGAGAACAAAACAGTGATTCTGTCATCACAAATGGGAAAAACTGTGGTTAGAAACTGATGAGTATATGCAGTCAAGAATGCTGTGCTCTGAATGAAAACTGAATGGGAAAGAGAACTCAAAACATTAAACAGGTACCAGCAAGTATAGGTTTTGAAGTTACAACTGGATTTTGCTGAAAGATCAAAAGTTTATTTTATCTGTTCATGTTTTCTTCTTTCTTTTCATTGCACGTGGAATACCTTCATTGTGATTTAGTACATATAGTTCCAATTTTTAAAATCTTGGGTTTAGCTTTAAGTAAGTTCTCATACTTTTGTTAAAGCAATCTGGGTTAGAGACAAAAGCTTTGCCAACAGGCTACTTCAGATATGTCAGGATAAGATATATTTCTGGTTGTCTCTCTAATACATTACTATTGCTTTTAATCACATTTATTTTGCCATTATTGTTTCCTCATGTTCTGAGTTTGAGGGAGGCAAAACCTGTAATCTTTGAGGAACATCTCTGCCTGTGCTTACATTGCCCTACGGAATACTTCTGGAAGCTTGTCCAAGTATGATAAAGCATTTGAGATTGCACAGCCTATCATCCAGGACACAGAAACAAAGGAAATAAGCAGTCAACACTTGCTCTCAGGGAAGACTCCCTTGCTTGACCTCAATCACTCCACTATCCTGCTCACAGTCCATATATTTTTGTCCTCATCTACGTGTAGCTATATTTATGAATTAGACAGTCTCAAGTCCATAATTTCAGATGATGCCAAGAGAGAGCAGTATGGTTTTCATAAATTATAGTGAATACAGCTGTGTATGGTGCTTTTGTCCGGTGTGATTGAATGAGTCATGATGGCAAATGTCAAATAATGGCTTGTGAGACTTCAGCCTGAAGTGTTTATGGAATCTTTTGCGGATGGACATCTTCCTGAGCACAGTTCCTCTCCCTGCCACTTCTCCCAGATCTTCTCAGCTCTGACTCTATGTTTACCTCTTGGCTATAGCTCAAATTATACTGTGTTCCTCATACAGCTGCAACAACTGCCAGGTTCACATACAGCTAATCCCTGAAGGCCTGTCTTCCATTCACCACACCCTTTTATCCTTCTGGCCCTACAGCACTTCTCTTACTTTTATGTCTCCTACTCAAACTGCTCCAGAACTTTCCTAACTTCCTCCACGGCAAGTCCACTTAAATAGGCATGGATGATCCTGAGCATCTCACTGAGCATCCATCCAGCAGTGTGTAAAAATGCGTGGCCATGAAAGAAGCAAAGGTGCTCCAAGTCGTGAAAATTTAATCAGCATAATATAATAGCCCAAATAGAATCCAAAAGGTTGCATGAGCAACATTTACAGAAGTAAAGTGTTACATTTACTAGTGAATTTTTACAGTAAAAATTTTTTACAGTAAAAGAACATATCACTGAATTGCCCCACGTCTTTGAATTAAATGTAGTGTGCAAATACTTTAGAAGCCAGCTCCTTTTTGAGGGAAAAAAGTTGTAAAAATTTATAATCAAGCTGCAAGCAAGGAAGTTTTCCTAGAAATATGTCTCAATATATGGTTTAAAAACTAGACAAAATTTATTTCAAGAATCACATGCATGTATGTGTATTAATACTTCTACAATAAAAACTATATGTATAGGAAGAAAAGTAAAAATGTACACATAGAGAGTAGAATCTTTATCCATGATTTTTTTTACATCTTCCTGAAAACGGAGAACTTTGATAGCGCTTGGGAGACCCAAAGAGATATCAATCTTACGTCCTGTATTCTATGAGATGATCAGGAAACAATTTATGGAAGTAATACACTTGCCTCAGACATAAGAATTTTGAATAGCTGATTATTTGTGTACTTTGCAAAGTGGTCTTCAGTTTTGAATCTTAATTGCTAAAACAGCACCAAGACAACTGGGTGACAGGTGCTCATTTTAAGTAGAATCTTTTGTGCTGTAGAACAACTTCTGTTATGTTTTAGATCTCTACCTCAAAGAAAATTCTCTCCTGAGGATAACATTTAAGTCTGTTTATTTAAGTATAAATGCTTTCAGAGTGAATTCAGTGGGAGCTGTAAATTCTGAAATATTCTTAAAATGCTCTTCTAAGTAGAGCTGATCTGAACTATTTTTAAGTACTTTCCCAAGTACTTGAGAAATTGGAATGGAAGTGCTGTATCTTGTCATTGGCAGGGATTTTCCAGACAAATTTCCTGCCTCAATCTGCCAGGAGAACATCCCAGGTCCATAATACAAAGGGGCTTTGCTTGTGTGTATATTACCTAATTTCTTCAGATCACTCTCCACTTCTGTGAGCTTTTCTGTGTATCTTCTGTGAGATGTTTCCAGGCCACCTGTCACATTGTCCATTTTTTCTACAACTAGGGGAGAGAGAACAGTGTGTTATGAAAAGAAGAAAAGGGAAATTATGAAAAAAGACTAGTAAACAATAAAGAAAACAAAACCCTTTCCCTACCAAACAGTAAAAAAAGAAAACACCTTAAAATTTCCTTGCTTGCCATTACACACTGCTGTTGCTCTGTGAAATGTTGAAAGGGTGAGCTCCTATTTGCTGGTGGACCCAGAATTCTTCTACTTCTTCAGTCTGCCAGCAGTCCCTAATGATTTTTTTCGCTCATGAGTAATCTCTGTCCTGAATGAGGAAATCCTTTGTTGTGGGTTTTCCTCACAAACAAAGTAATTTTCGTTTAACAGTATTTCCATGCTTCCAGCACAGTGCTGTGTGGCAAAGGAAAATGGATTGCTAAAGGCTCAGATGTGTGAAAGAAGTCTTCCTTTAATTTTGGTATGAGCCATTTCTCCTTAAAAAAGAATTTTTTATTTAACTTTTGCCTTTTCATCATTAAAAGTTTCCACCTGGATAGCAAACTTAGGACTGAGATAGTAATTACTAAATGTTTTGGGGGGTTTAAACATATTGATAATGGTACAGATCACTCAAAGCAGTCTTGAAATGATTCTGCCTCATTAAGATTGAAAGGATGGTCATTCAGGAAGTGCAGACTTCAGAATTTATGACTGATGTGCCCTTCATTTTGTAATGCCTGAGTACTTTTCTTGACACTGAAACATTCAATTATTTGATGAAATTAATATGGGAATGGAAAAAGCAGAGCAACAAATAACAGCCCGGGGTGGCTTCCAGTGGCAAAAATGCAAAATGCTTGCAAGGTTAGAGGTGGCCTACAGCTTTCACACTAGACTTTGTCTAATTCAAGCCACAACTAGGGGTAGAAATTTTTTCTCATCATGAGATTATTTAGTCCTTTTGCTACACTGGGAGCAGAATGGGTCTGTAACAACGCTGGGAGAGGCTACATGAGTTATTGTGCCAGCTCCTTTTTTCAAACAGAAGAAATAAAGTGTTTCCCATCTTTTGAGGTTCTGTAAACCTGTCTGGGGTAGGGGTACCTCTAACTTTCTGTCTGTGAAATGATCTGCAGCAAGGAAAGAGTCTCATAAAAATTGTTGCTATGCAAAGGTTTGGGTTTTCACAAGAAGTGAAATTTACGGATCTTTTGCTGTGAGCAACCACACGAATCCTAGACCTTTCAAGTGTAGTCCATCAGGTGCTCCTTCTTTATTAATGTTTGCATTTGTTTTTCTGATTCTGGATACCACAGTTACACTGGAGGGTTTCACTGCTTCCCCAAACCCCAAAACCAACATGAGAAAAACAGACCAAGACTATCTGATGGAACATCACTGAGGAGTTACAACACAGAAAAAGTCTCAGGATCTTCAGAGACCATACACCCTTTGGTGAGTTATCTGCCTGCTCCTTTCTAGGCTGCTAACAAGCCAGTAAAACAGACTCTACTGTGTGTGCAGTCAGAGGGTGGCTTTCTGTATTTGAGATGATGACAGATTGCTTGCTAAACACCAGACCCAGGCTACAATAATGGCTTTTCATTTTCAGAGGCACAGTTGCTCAATATCTTCTGCTTTAGAAAGCATTTTCCTCCCCATTATAGCACTAATTTTTCACTGGTTGTTCTGCCCATTAAAATTTTCAAAATGCTATATGCAATTTTTCCTAAATGAAACCAGAGTTGATTCTCTGTTTGTCCTGCCCTGCTGTCTTCCAGGCTGGAGCCCAGATCAACAAAGGTCCTTCAGCTACTTCTGACACTCCACCACTGCATGTATATGCCCATGCATCACTCACAGAGAGAGTGAGGACTTGGCTTTTCCTTCGGCTCTAGGCTGCTCCTTGTTCAGTCTGTGGTCTTCTCCTTTGTCTACAGAGAGTCACTGCCAGGGCATGGCTCACTCTGGGCACTTGGATTATGAAATCATCTATATTTTAAAAGCAGTCCTAATTCAAGTGTTTCTGCTAAACCTATGCCTTGACTAGCAATGTCACATCACCTACGGTTCTTGTTAATTCAGTTTTAGTGTGATATTCAACTGCTTCCCCAGTTATATAACACATTTGGAGTTAGCAAATGAATATATATTATCAGTAATTAAAAGAAAAATGTAATTTCTTCCTTTTGCTGTCCAAGTGAATGCTAATTTGTACTTCAGATCTGAAGTCTGTAAAACTAAACTATCATGCAACAAGTATGTTTTCATGGTTGAATGAAGTCTAACACTGGAAGCTTGAGTTAAAATTTAACCCCGAAGAGTCCAAAGCAAATGTAAACACAACAGTAGTAATCCTATCAATAAGTAGTTTTCTGGCAGTTAAATGAGACAACAGAAGTAATTATACAACAGCATATGGTATTTTCATTGTTCAAAGTGAAAAAAGAAAACCCAGACCACTGAACACCAGCAGCAGAAACAAACCTGCTGGTCTCTGCAAACCTGACTGCAGGGTTAGCTCAAGGGCTAAGCTGCCATCCCATAGATGAACCAATGCATGTATTTGCTTTATATTGGGATGGGATCTTAGCCTCCATGGTCAAATAAATCATGGGTTTGGGGAACTTGATCCCCTGACCAAACTCCTTCCCAAAGTAAGTTGTAGCTTATTTACTTTTATTGCTATTGCCCTGCAAGTGGAAAGGATGAATCTGGGAGAGAATGAATTGCGAGAGGCCAGTGTTGGGTTTTGCTGGTCTTGATGTCAAAAGAGGTCATATGGACTGATGTCCTGTTATTGGGAATATCTTTCCTTCCCTGGTGGTGGCTCCCACCACCATCTCTGAATGGTGGTAGGTGAGCACATGGAACAACACTCTCAGAAGTGGAAGTCAGCCTCTAGCAAGTGCCCCAGAACTGAACAGCCCCTTTCCACCTTCTCCAGAAAAAGGCAAACAGGCAGATCAGCTGTAATATCCCACACAAAAGGCCACTGTGCTGCTCCCAACAACAACTGCCTGCTCTTAAACAGACAAAGTTGTGTATGTCTTAACTTGCTTTTGGTTAACTTCATCTTAATTCACAGCTTGGTCTCTCTGCATTGTCATCTCAATTCCTGACAAGATCACAGTGGAAAAATGTGGTAAAGATCCTCTAAAGGAAGCCCAGATTTCAAGTAGTTGCTGATCACAACAGTGAGGACTGTTTGCATCTAAGCCACTATGACAAAATGTGCCATTTCACCAGGATGTATTGGCCCCAGGTAATGGCAGGCAAACTGTGTCTGGGAGACAGATAAAAGAAGCAGATGAAAGTCATGGTGGGCATTACTCAAGAAACTTAAAAACAAGGACTGACTAGAGAATAAAAACTACCAGAAATTCAAGCTGCAAGTGTTCACTTACTGGAATGAGCCACAGGAAGATCATTCATCTTCAATAGACTAATCTGACACCGGCTGGTGCCAGAAAAATAATAACTTTGTATTTTTCATTTAATTTCATAAAGTATGTGCAAAAATTGCAGATTGCTTTATTAGTGTTTTAAACAACAATTTTTCTTCTCAAAGCAGAAGAATACTAAACTTGCCTTGTTATTCCTTCATGTTGTTTCCTAATTATTCATTCATGTTTTGGTTTCAGTGTTTTCCAATATACTATGTAATTTTTACCACTAGTTTGGAGGTTTGTTCTGTGTTGACTTTGCCTCCCATTGAGTTGCTTCTTTGCTTGCCATATTTAATCCACTGATTAGTAGTTTTAACATTTTAAATCACAAAGGATATTTAAATGCGACGTAGGAAATTAAAGTTTTAAAAGTAGTTTTGGGCTTTATAAACACAAGTGTGGGAGGCAAATTTAATAGAAACTTAGCTAACAGACTGAATGAATCCCTGATGCCAGCAGAATTCCTTCTTCCAGTGTAATATTGCAGTAAAAAAGAGAAGCCAAATTCTGATGCAGAGAGGAGAGTTCAGGAACAATATACTTTTATTCTGAGTTTTCTTCTTCCTTTAAGGCCGAATCCCTTCCAACAATCAAAACTGTTGCAGTAATTAATTTGAATATGTACTGCCAGCTGGGGTTTTATCTAACTTATGTTTTCCCTGCAAATTAGCACAGAGGTACCCTGAAGACAAAGCTCTTAAAATGCAGGTACAAAGGGCAGAATTAATGCCTGACACATTTGCTGCTTGGTGTTACAGAAGGAATACTTGCATTGAACAAGACTTTTGTCTCTTTGCCTCTTTCCCTTGGCATTCAACTGTTGCAATCACCAAGTTGGTGAGCAGCGGGGCAGTGGTCACCAAAATGTCTTAGGGTCTGCGAGCAAGATATGCATTATCCACCTTCCTCCAATCCCTTTTACATTTATTTTTGGAAGAGGGAATTCTTTTGTCCTTGTCCTGGATAGCTGTGATTTGGTACTGCTGTGACAGAAAGACTCATCCCTGATGAGTGACTGCTCATTCAAAGAAAAAAAGTTTAGAAATGAGTGAAGCAAAGTTGGAGCCTCAAAAAGAGAGCAAAGCCTGGGGAAAAGATGGTGCTGGGGTCCCCATAGAGAAAGAAGCTTAGAAACTAGATTGAAATGAGGAACATGAACTCCTTCTCCCAAAGTCTTCTGGACAGCTTCCTTATTGCTACTGCTTCCTCCACACATGCAAATCATTTGCCAAAGCAAGATAAAGAGCAGTAGTCTCTCCAACTTGATATGCTGCACCTGATGCTCAGTGAGGGCTCAGTCTCCTGGGAAGCCCCAGAACTGACAGTTCTATATAAAACTCTTGAGGGAAATTGTGCTAAATCCCAGTCATTTAGTGGCTGGGTTAAGTCTGGAAAGATCCCATTCTCATCTGATGTAAGCAGATCTCTGCAGATTTATATCTGCAAAAGGCCTCTCCTAATCCATTTGACCAAATGATCTTATATTTATAGATCAAGAATAAGTTTTTGAATCCTGGAAGGCTTTTTGTCCCTCAAAATCTGACTTCCAGAGACCAATTACTTCAGGAGATGCATTCACATAGATGTACTGCATTTTTTTTCCACATTTGATGTAAATTTGCCACCTTCTGTCTGCTTTATCATGAAACAAGATTACCTAAGTCTCTCTATCTGTTCCTCATATTCTCTCTTTGCCCTGGATAAATCTTCCATCTAAACAAAACAGTTTTAATTGTCTCCCACTCAAAACTGTGCCAAATCCTCTTAAATAATTATTTATCCTTTCTATTTCTACAATTTCCTTTTCTTTCCTTGGCAAAGGACCAGAGGTGATGTCAGCTCTGCTATGAGTGCAGCTGTTGGCAGCACAGGATGCACTGCATGCTAATCACATGAATATTTACTCAGCTTCTTGGAGAGGTTTTGAAGCTACTCTCTGAGCCATACTCAGACAGGTAGTTTAGAACTAGCTTGGTTTTCTCTGCAACAAACTGTGATGCCCTGTTTTAATGCTCACAACGATGTTGTTCACTTTCCTTTTCATGCCAGAAATTCACGTCTTATTTAAATTATTATAGCTGTAACTGCACAAGAGGCAGGTATTTGCATCAAAACACTTTTATAAATGCCTAAGTGGCTACAGTTAATTAGTGATGAGGATTTATGGGAATTTTAAGCCATGTTTCCCAACGTGCCCAACTAATGATTTGCACAAATGAAATTCTCTCCCTTCCAGGGTTGCTCAACTACCAGAATCTTTGAAATCTTTTAAAAGCATCTAAGTGTCTTTGCTCATCACAGTTATTGTGGATCGTCAATACACTGGTATCTCCTGGTTTAATTTTTCTTCTTCCTGATATTTCAATATAATATTGATACTACATTTTGTTCTTGTGATAAATATTATATTAGCAAGATATTCCTGGCTGTTGCACATGTTACACAGCTTTGTGCATTCCAGTACTCCTTCTTGGTGGAGGAATGATAATTTTGTTTTAACTTCCCTTTCAAATGTCCAATCTGGTTTCAAAATTTCATAGTTATTTGAAAGTGAAATTCTAAGGTTGCAGTTTGTTGTTATGTACATACAAAAAGCTAACATTGCCCAAGTACTGATATTTAGGCTAAAATGTGACAAATTTCCTGGCTAGCTAATAAGTGACAATGTATTTGGACACTTGTCTGAAAGTGAAATGTTGGTCTCAATCCATACATACCTTTGTATCCCAGAATGGCTACTGTGATTGTTAACAGGGCACATAAAATGTATAATAAGATGATGGAGAACTTCAGTGCCCAGTTATTTTTACACTTGGTACATTGGCTCCCTTCCTGAATACCTGCAACAGAAGATAAAGAAATTTAAAACAATTTCAAAGAACATGTTGCTGGGTTTATTTCCCCACCACCTTTCCTATGTTTTCTAAAGAGCAAATTATTTATCTAAGTAGATGATATTTACATATGGCGTGCCTATTTGCCTATGCTGCCAGGATAAAAAATCACAGTGGTTAGAACATCTGCTCAGTGAAACAATCACTTTGGGATTTTGGCATGTGTAAGAGAAGTAGGTTCTGCTTCACTGGATGACCTCTGGCTTTCCTGGGAGGTGGCTGTTTTCTGATTGTGCTAACAAGACTATGGTGAGTTTTGGAAATAAAACATTTATTAGCATCTCCTCGGTCAGGCATCACACCGCAGCAGCTCTTTCTTAACATATGGTATCCCTGTGGGGGCAATAGGACACAACAAATGTTCTAGCAGAAAAAACCACAGAAATAAAAGAGCATTGTGAAAAACAGGTAGGAGTAGTTCTGCTTTGTAACAATCACCACAGACAGTTACCATGCAAACGCTTTCTTTCCACAATGAGATTTTTTGCATATTTTTGGGGGGTTTTGGAGAACGCTATTTCCACAGAAAAGAAGGGGTGCTTTACTTATACAGTGATCTGTTCATCCACAGAAAAAGTGCTGGTGAATTTCTCTTTGTGGACAAGCTTAAGAAAAATGGCCTCAAACTGATGAAAGAAAACAGAGCTTTACTATTCTATATTTAAACTTTTTTCCAGAACAGCTTGATATCTTTTAGTCTATTAGGGAAGCAATTTTCCTCTTTTGTGCTCCTTGGGAATAGCTCAAGAGTGTTGGGAGCATGGATTATTATTAATCAGAAGCACAAATGTGTAAAAACCTGAAAACTGGACCGACGTGCTGGAAGAAACAGATGGGATTTATCCATCTTTCTAAGGTACGTTAAGCAGGCCAGGATTAATGTAACTTTGTGTCTGTCAGAAAATGCTTTTCTTTGATATTTCACTCTATTTGTGTACTATTAGGGGAGTCCCACAGGAAAGCTTTAAGCTCTAATAAATTCTATGTACCAGATTACTTAACTAATCAAAACTTGCTCTGTAGCTTTTTATGAGTAACTTATATTTCCCCCGAGGCCTAACACACAGATGATTTTACTTTTCCAAACTCACAACCTTCTGCAGAGTGATTTTTTGTTTTTCATTTTTTTAAGAGAAAAGCACAGACCACTTCCCCTGGGTTCAAGAAGGATGGGTGACCAACACAATGAGTTAAGTCAACTGCATTTCTCTCTCCAGTGACATTTTCCAATGGCTTCCTTTAAACCTAAGGTACTTGAAGAAGGAAGGATTACCACATTGGAGCAACTGAGGAAGAGGATTTATACAAAGTTTATTTGACAAGACATTTTCTTCAATCCTCTCTGCACGTATACTCACTGTGGGTAAGGCAGAAATGCATCTTTTTCAGGTCTTTTCCACATTACCTCATCACATGTTTTTTCTAAACTTTTCAGGTGTGACACTGCACATTCTGTTGCCATGTGATGAAAGTGACGTCATAGATTTGGGTTCCTTGTGGTTTAGGCATAAGACCAGCTGGGAACATCTGGTTCTTTTTTCAAGAACATTATGGGAAAATGAGACAAAGGCTTGTAAGCATAAACTAAAGAACAGAAATTCCAGAGGGTAAAGGCTTCTCTTCTAGCTGTGGGGTGGGAAGGGAGGGAGCTGGCACAGCGACAGGCAGCTCCATAGCCCATTTATTGATGACTTGGATTTGGAAGGGTGGTAACTCCTGCACCACAAAAGAAAATGTGAAGGGTCCATAATTCAGCAGTCAGGTTTGCTTATGGATCCTGATGCATGGGCTGACTTGCTTTCTTTGGTTTGCAGTCTCAAGGAGTTTGCTGGTGAGGAAGGTCTAACTGCTGAAAAAGCAGGAAAGGGAAAGTGCAGTTTTCTAAAGGTCTGCAATAGGTATTTAGAGACTGAAATGATTTCACATGGGAACTTGGTGGTGTCTGGAGCACCATATTGCTGGTCTTAGCCAGTACTAATGGGCTCATTGAGCCCCTGTTCCCTAAATGCACATGAGCTCCTTCTCACTGAAGGGTTTAAAATTCAGATTCCAATTTGGTTGTCTTTGAAAGTCCCACATATCCAAAAACAAACCTGGAGCAAAATTCACATCACATTCACTTTCTAAATACAAGACAAATAGAAAGCTCGATCCTCCTTATTTTAATGTTAATTGAAGCAGACCTAGATCCTTATCTGGGAAAATGATGGACTGCAGAGGTACAAAACACAGAGGCAGAAGTAAAAACAAAGCCTTTGGCAGCAATTGCACAATGAAAAGTTTCACTTGATAAGTGTCTCATAGTCAGATTACTCATTTTAAAACATGACCTGCTTTCTGTCACTGTACTCCGGCTTCCTGGGTAAACGTGTAACGAGCTGAAACTTCACTGATGTCAGTGGGTGTATTGCAGTTCAGCATCAAGCATCATGTATGTTCCAGTGCTTCACAGGGATCTAGTTTCACTTGTACCCCTGGTTCAATAAAGCAGCACTTTGGCTTTTCGGAACTTTTCATTTCAGTGTATTTCAAACTGACATCAGAACAGCACCCCAACAAAAGCCAGACCTCTCCATCCTTTTACAGCCCAGCACGGTTGGTATCAATAACACAGGCACATCATACTAAAACAATCATACAGGCTGGAGTGATTCCATTAACAAACTGGCCTGGAACTGTGTGCTGCATTCCTTACTGGGGCTTTCTGCCTGTCAGCCTAAAACTACTTCTGATTGCCAATGAATCCCTGCTACCCTCATCTAACATGACCGAGGTCTAGGGCTGGAGTGAAAAGCCAGGGAGTTCTAACAGGCTCCTTTGTTTTCTTTTACCTAAGATACAGTAAAGTCTTTCAGAGCAATTATATTTGCTCTTTATTACAAACATGTAGAGCTTTACTCAGCTGCTAGTAACACGTGACTTTCCAGTTTACTAAACATATAAAAACTACTACAAAAATACCAATACCCCTTGAAGAAATTATTTGGAAGACTCATTCTGATGTCTTTCTGAGCAATTAAATACATCAGGCTATATGCAAAAGCCAGGAATGCAACCCTCTCTGTATTGGGATGAACTACAGTATAATCAGAGCTCCCCAAATTCCCCAGCACACTCCTTCACTTCAGCTTGCCCTGTTATTCTTCCACACTACCTCGCTTAAGGATCATGCCCAAATAAGATAGTTCTGATATAAGAGATGCATTTAGTCCATGTTGTGAGTTCAAAGGTTGTTCTCAAAAGATGTGACAGCCAAAATATTAAGCAACAACAAATGGGAGACAATTAAAAATGCTTACTGTGATTACACAAAACCCAGCAGATTGGCATAAATTCATGTAGGTTTACCACAAAAGCTGTGAGTTGAGGCTTAAAGGAGCCCATGCTCAGGCTTTAATTTGGCAGAAGTTCCCCAGTTTTATCCACTAGATTGCTTGCTGTTAGGACTGAGATAAAATGCAGAATTCTTCCAGGAGATGTATCACATTTCTTCTAGAAAGCTGCAGACTAAATGGAAAGGGAAAGACCCTACACACACATCCCACTGACAGAACAAATGTAAAACCTGCAAAAGGGCGTTGTCAGCTAAGTCAGCTCTTCTCCATTTGTTAATGATGCTGCTAGTGCAGCACACTCCTCCTCTCTGTGTCCTGTACACGTGTTTTCAATGCTGGTCTGCTCCCAGACATTTCTCACTGCCTTCCAAATCCTGGGAGCTGGGGTCACTTCCGCATGACGTGCATTTCTCACTGCTGATTTGATCAATGTTTAATAAATATCAGATGGGACACAATGTGCCTCGTTTCACTGGACATATGCTTTTTTCCATTCCTTTCCCTGACTTATTTTAATAAGAGCTCTGGTTTTTCTGCCTCACTGTTGGGAAGACATCTGGTCAAACAGACAGCAACCTAGTACAAAGAGATCCTGCTGGCTCACATGCTTTGGGGACCCCCTTCTCTGCAAACCAAAATGCTCACAAAAAATATGCAAGTGAGACATCCCCCTGTTACCAGGCTTTGTAGTATTTGTTTTTATAGCATTGCATTCCAGTGACTGAAGACTTTGTTCTCACGCAGGGGGTATACATCTGCAGATTCCTTTTGGGCTCCAAGAAGAAGTTTTGCTGAAGGAGGACCTGGGCTTTTCGGGTTTTATTTGTTTGTGGGATTTTTGTTGTTGTTTTGTTCCATGGTTTTAATGGGACACTAAATAGTTTTGCTCTTTGTAACCACCTTACAAAATGCCTAACTCCTCAACTGTATTACACTTCAGGAGCACATCTTTGAACACTGGAATAAGACATGCACACACTTTCTTTTTTTTTTTTTCCCCTGAATAATTCTCTTACAAGTATTTGACTCTCTGTTCTTTTCTTGGCTCTGGCTGCAGGATCATAGGTGGCCTCATAACATTTCTGCTAGCAAATCAATTTTGACAAAGATGCAAGGTTTCCTTCATAACCCTGACAAGAAATAAGAATAATAATAATGATAAGATAAAGAAATGTAGAGCAGGAAACGAAAATACATTAGTTTGGAGGGGGTTTCCCCAGTGTGTTTCATTGAAAAGAGATAACATCCTCTGAATTTCAAAAGGAAGACTGCAAGACGACTTTGCACCCTGCAAATGATCGCTTTCTCAAACTTAATGTTTTCAAAACAGTAGTGGATCTAATACCTATATTTAAAGGGACCTGAGCAAACAATATACATCTAATTCAGGCCTCCTGCCCTGGAAGGTGCCACTGCCCATAGCAGGGAAGCAGAAACTACATGATCTTTGGGTTCCCTTCCAACAAGAACCATTCTGTGATTCAGTGTGTGACTAGGAGTCAAACACTGAGAGGTAATTAACGTTTCAGAGTTGCTACAAGCTCCCAGTGATGTCTATCTCACTAGCAAAAGTAGGTAATCCCATGAGGAATCCATCTCTAGGTTTAAATA